TAGTTCTTTTTAAATTTTGTACTTGTGATAAAAGTAATATTTACATACGATTTTTCAATCTTTAAACTCGTCCCAGTTTAAAATATATCTTTCTATATTCTTTCGGCTTGTACTTTTTAATATTACAAAAATAACCGCTATCCACTTATTATGTATGCTAAAAATATTTCTATTTAAAAAAACGTACCTATATTGCCATTATAAGAATTATTTTTAATTAAGTTTTTTTAGGTTATTTTGTTATTTAGCTAGGACTCAGAAAGCTTTCTTAAAACAACCATAGAATATTAAATTACAATATTTATTTAACAGAAGTCATGAATGTGTTTTAGATAATTGGTTCTCAGAGAAATCAAAACTCGGGTAACTTAATGAAAATATAAAGTTCTGTACTTCATTAATTAAAATAACTTTTATTTGAACTATTATATATACTTTTAAATTGATACTCGTGGGTTTTCAAGATACAAGTTGTATCAAATAACATAGCAAGAGATGCGTGTCAACCCACAAGGGTTTAACGTGCTCCGTAATTTCCCACGGTGCACATTTAATGCTAACTTATATTTTCAATAGCAATTGTCTTCGGGTGGCATTATCATTATATTTTTGAGTATTTGCTGATCAGTAGATAAAAACTTTCGCAACAATAGTAAAACTTTTGATTTTTATTTTATAATGACTAAAAATAATAGAGTATATTATATTTGGCATTCAATTTGTTCAAACAAATTTAAGGAGTTATGTATACAAATTTTTAAAACTCGTAAAGGTAATCAATCTTTATACCACCTGTAAATTTAATTCAATTACTTTACTTAATGTTTAAATCATTTATTCAAATTATAGCGTAATAATATATATTACTATAGCTCTTTAAAAAACATTAACTTATAATGATTATGAGTAACTATCTACGATTATTATAGATAAATTAAATTTTTGAAAATCTGAGATAATAATTTTATTACACTTTAAATTGAAATACTCATATAATTATTTAACCGTCTTTATACTAAAGAACTGTTATGTAGACAAAATTAATCAATTATAGTGATCTCTGGAGTTCTTTAGATCAATAAAGTTTCTAGATAAATGACTTGGTAAAGTGTAAAATTCTGCTTACTACTAAAAGCACATAATTGATATGTGTTTACTTGTAACAAATTTCACACATCAAATATCTTTTAATTAATTTTAATAAATTAATTTAAAAACAATAAAAAGTAAAATATTGAATATTACTAATAATTGTGTACTACAACACAATACACCGAGCTAAATTATCATTTTAAAATAAAAGCAAATAATTAGAAAATAATTTTTAGTTTTTCATTATGAGAAATTCTAAAAGAAAAATTGAGTAACTGGCTTAGAATGTGAAGTTACGTGTCTCAATAAAATTATTGTCATACAGTACAAGACCAATTTTTATTTTGTTGTTTTGCTAGCCTTGCAGGATGGTACCAATATGACAATCAACAAGGTGATAACGTCACTAGGTGATAAATTAACTAGCGGTATATAAAGGAGTATTTTTCGGTCGGGCTATGAGTATGTGTTTAGCGTTGGTGGTAATGGTAACATTATTCCCAAAGTATGTATCTGCGATTTAGTAATTTTTGTGGTTTTTGAGATGTGTATTTTTCAGTTTTAAATTAATTTTTTATTTTAAATAATATTAGCCATAAATGAACAATTCTTATTACTTAGTTAAATCTAGATAATCAAACGACATTAATTTTTAAAAATAATTGAATTTATTATTTTCTTTAATTTTTGAACAAATTTTCAATCAATAACGGGTTGAAACTTGATGGATTAAGTTAGTTATTCGAGAACCAAATCCGTAACGGTTGGTGTCCTACAAGAATTAGTTTTCGAACATCTGCTGAAGAACATCACGTACAACATGGTGTTTTAAGTTTTGTTGCCACCATACGTGCGTGTCATCTTCTACGCATACGACACGCTGATGGTGACTCAAAAGTCGTGGATAGCCTGTAGGGACAAATCTGGGGAAGGCCGAGACGCAGAATCTTAGCCAACGTTTCTGAAATATTCGTCTAAAAATCGTGAAATTTACTTAGGGTACAGAAGTGGGCGGCATCCGGACCGTTTCGACTTACCGATCGGTATCCGGTAACTGCGGATGAACATGTTTCGGTGGCGGACTGGCATCTTGGAAGCACCAAGAGACCAGGACCCTTGTTGGACTCGACCTTTTGGAAAAGTGAATACACGGTGTGATGACTTACCATCTTACACAAGTGATGTCCGGCTACGGCTGCTTTAACGAATGGTATTCATGAGACAGCCGCGCCGACGTGTGATTACTGTTTGGATGGCTCGAGAGAGGCAGACAACGCTCTGCACAAAATCTTCTGGTGTAAAGTGTGAATCCAGGAGCGGGACTGTTTGGAGTCTCGATTGGGGTTCACGGTATCGTCTACGTTGAGTGGTCGGGTGTTATGGTTTTTTTATTAGGACATTTGACAAATCGGTAATGTACCGTCAAAAATCGGCCGAACTTCTGTGTCAGAAACGGTTACATAGGTCAGTACAGCGAGATCTGAGGCGTTTTTTACGGGCACTGTCGTAGATGTACGATAATTGTCTTTGTGTATTGTGATTTATAAAATCTCAAACCGTGCAAATTTTATTAAATTTATAAATTAGCTTTATTAATTGATAAAAAATAACAAAAATTAGAGTTCTTAACTTGTAAAATATTTGAAAATTCTAAATATATATATTTTTTTGTACTTGGAAAACCGTTATGAAACTTAAATTTTAATTTTACAATAAATTTTTGTGGTTTGGTTTTAATAATATTTAAGTATTTCACTAATTACAATTAGATATATCATATTTAATAAATTATATGAACCAATAACATTTTGATAAAAAATTTTTTTTCGCAATTTAATTCAAAAACGGTTTTTTTTTATTGTAATACTAGGTTCCGCTTAATTTGGGCTTCACTCTAAAACTAAGGCCTTTCAGACCATCTTTATGGACAGATCACATATTCTGGTAGGAGTACTCTATACGCTGGGCACGATAACTGTTTTGCATGAAAAGTATTACTTCAGAAAAAGTAAAAAAATATATAATAAACATTTAATTTTTAGAATGAATAAAATTTAAAAAAGTTAAAAGTGAAGAGTAATAAGTATACGATTAATATTTGTTTCCTGAGGTCATCACCATAATATAATAATATTTCAATTATAACAACACTTTTGACAACTACAATAAAATAAAATTATGTTACGAATTTATTGGTAATAGACTGAAATATGTTACTATAATTAATTGAATTTGTATTGATATATTAGAACCTAATTCATCAACACAACATTTTGTGCTAAGTTGCCAAATTTTTCAATGTTTTATTACATAATAAGATTATGCTTGAATTATGTTCTCATGGAAATTTTTTTATTCTTTTTTCAGTTGTAACAAACTAGCAGACTTTAACTTATGTGTTTAAAATGACTAATACTTAAATAAAATTTGATTTTTTTTTTGATAAAATATTAGATTATCTTTAACTTATATTTGAAATATTGATTTGGAACAATATTTTATTAAGTACTTATTTTTACACATTAATTAACATGTCTCGAGATATCACAGATCTTTGTGGGACGTATAGAGATGATGGTTATATCAAACCAGAGTTGTTAACATTACTTCTTACACTGGTGATTTTTTGATAACATTTTATTTTATAAATATTATACGCTTTTGAAAGGGATCGGCCTGATCAAGTGGGTAGAAACTTATGTTTTGGCAAAATGCGCCCCAGGTTCGATCCCCAAGGCGCCAAAAAGATTTTTCTTGCGAATTCCTCACAGACTTGACATTGTGTAGGTTTTGTGAAAATTTCTAGTTATATATCAATAAACTTTGGCGCAAGTGAGTGTTGTTTAAATATACATATATATATAATAAAATTTTTAAAAGGTGTGCTAAAAATTGTTTTTTAATCTTTGCAAATTTTTTTATGTTAATTTCATCGAGTTCTTTTATTAAAAATAATTGCTTAGCCAGTTAAGTAATTTTTCAGCATTGGAAAAATTTTCCATGTTTTACTATATTATAAGATTTTATAAAAGAGATGAGAATGTACATATTGTCAAAAATGTTTTTAACAATATTTACTTACATAAGAATTGTTTGAGTTTCTTTCACAATTTCATGGTTAAAAAATATTCAAATAAAATTTATTTTGTGGATTCATTGTTATAGGTACTCTCATTTTATTTTGGCTTCGTAAAATTAAATAAGATTTTCTCAACATGATAACTATTCATAAAAAAGTTACTACATCAAAAAAAAAAAGAGTACTTTATGTTGTTTGGTTAAATTTTCAGATGCTACAGGGCTGATAAAAATAGTTTCTCTTAAAGAATTAAAATATTTAAGTTATATTATTTAAATTAGTTATATTTTTATAATTAATCAATTTAACTTTCTATTTACACTTAAAATTTAATTTTGAAACAATATTTTATTTATTTTTAATAATATTTACAGTATTTTAATTTTATTTATCAATTATGATATGTATTTATAAGTTTTACACTTACGTAGAGAAACGTTCTTTGAAGGTTCTCTTTTACTTTTTAAACGAAAACTTTATTTCATTATATTCAATTTAACGCGAGCCTTTCGACGAATATTTGTTTTATACACTTCCATTAAATTTGTTGTACAAAATTTTTAGTTGAAAGGTAATTTAAAAAAAAATTTTCAAAATAGATTAGATTATAATTGAAGATTTATAAAAAAAAAAATTGAAGATATATGAAATTTAGACTTTTATTTTTAATATAAACAAACATAACAAAATTAATATTCTTTAGTAAAAGCAGTAGATATAATTTGAACAATTATGTCTGCTGTACAAAAATTATTAGAATTAGTAAGATTATATTTTATTTCGTTCAGATTCATAAATAATTGTAGTTTTTTTATCGAAATTAAATTACCTTAAAAATCAATCAACGATTATTTTAGTGACGTATTCATATCCTTTGTAGTCTCAAAGGATATCGTTGTTAGTTCTAGTAGTTCGAGTGATAGCCATGGATCGGGCATCTCCATTTACAAATCTGCCTTGTACGTTAACCTCTGGCCTCCACGGGATTATCACTTTTCTGAATGCCTTTCGGAAATTTTCCGATAGAAAAGCATATAATATTGGATTGAGACACGAATTTGCATAAGCTAGACAATGACTGACAATTTGCACTACAACACTGATAGCGGTAATGTCATAATAGTTTATGCTCTTCAATACTAAAATCACCTGCAAATAAAATAATATAGCATATTTTAACAACATTTGAATTTAATGCGTTTTAAGATTTTAATTTCACGAGAAGATGAAAAAATAAATAAAGTTAGGACAATTTCAATATAACTAATTTAATATATTAATAAAAAAATAATTCGGGAAGCTTTCAAAATCATAAATTAGTTAGAAAAAAAAAAGATATTCTGGAATTTTACGGTTGAAAAGTTAAAATCCTTGTTAACCGTAAATAATTTTGGGTAACATTGTGTTTTTGTTACCTATCTTGGTGAACTGTACCTAGAATATTGATGTCGAAAAGTCTTTTTTTTTAATGTGTGACTTAAAACAATTGCAGTCCCGCATAATAATAAAGTATTTTTTGTTATCCGTCGGGAAAACTCAGTTTTGATTTATGTTTTAGTGAAAAAATCATCGAAAGTAAAAAAAAAAGTGTGTTTGACAAACTCATCTGGTAGTTCAAGTGTATGATCTTAATAAACAAGAAATAACAAAAGCCTCTAGACAGAGAAGATTTCGAGACGAGAAAAAAAGGGTTTTTATTGAAGTTTTATAATTGTGCGTTTAATATGTGTCAAGATTGTATACGATGTATTCAGTGAAGAGTACTCAGTTACTTTTACAATAAAAGTTGTCAAGAAAACAAAAACTATCTAAAACGATGTTTTATTAAGTTTTAGACACAATATTCTGTTGTACATTTAAAGGAAATTACCGTGTGTAGATCTTTAATATAAGAAGGCATATTTCACACAATAGAAATATACTTTTAAAAATAAATACAACTTAGTAATTTCTCGTTTTATTGTTACTGGAATCCTCAGTCCTGTTTGATGCCGTAAGTTTTATCCGATCAGTATTGATGCTTACACCAGTTTACAGATGCTGTTAGCATTGTACATGTGTACACGTATGACAACAAAGCTTGATAGTCTTAAAAAAAATCGGCACAGTTAAAAACTTTATGCAAATTTCGTTACATTGCTGTTCGAGTCTCGAGGTTTAGTGAAATTTTTACTAGTGAAATAAACAGAGAGATTGGGAGGAAATGTGGGTGAAATTCAAAACACATGTTTTGAATTTCTTCTATCGTCACCTTGTACAAGGTGACGAAAGAAGAAAGGGCTATGTCCGATGTTTTATTGCGTTTTCCCAGGCAATAATGCATCCTATTAAATTCATGCGAGACTCGTAAAATTTTGTACTTAAATATTTTTCAAGTTGTATCGTAAACCACAATAGTCGATAAGAGATAACTATAGTTTGCAATGTACTGGACGGTACGGAGGGTGTTATGGGCGACGTCCAATCGCAATTGATGTATCGAAAAAATATTGCTAAATATTATTCGACCAAGTGCGTACAAAGTTTTAACAGTAACGTTACCATAATTTTTTTTGGCAGAAAAAAAGATTTTAAAGTTTCATTATCCATGAATTGGGTATTGATGTAGTATTTAAGTTTCTTTTCGTTTGCGAATGTTGTGAATGAATAAAGTAAATTAAATCAGTTGACATTGTTAAAAATAAATATTCCAGTTATTTATATTCTGTAAATAGTTTGTTTAAAAACTACATACATAAGTATTTGAAGCGAATTTTCGCAAAAACTTTCATGCATAATAATCATTTTATAAAGTAATTTTGTAAAATGTCACGTAGTACCGGTATTTAAATTTTCCTTTTTAAAATTTGAGCATTTTTCTTTTATATTAAAGAAGAAAATTGTACGCACGTGTGCGTATATAGAATGTACAGTAAGTAAAGAAACGGTTTTCTATTGTTCTCATTGTTTGTGACAACTGACCTGTTTCCTTACTTATTGAACTCTTTGTATATGATAGACATAATGAATATCACGTTAATGACAAAATGATAATTGTGTGTAAAATTTTGTTTTTTTGGTAATAAACATTTCACAATTAAAACTTATACATTAATTTTACAGTTATTGCCATAATTGTGTTATTGTTGTGGAAACGATTTTTTTATTCATCAATAAAAAAATAAATTAGTAATAATAAGTAATAGTAGCTGTAAGTAATAATCAATTAGTACTATGAATACTGGTAATAGTAATAGTTGATATAGTATTTTAATTTTTATTTATTGAAATATGACTGTATTATTGATATAACTATAATTAGATTTTTCAAACAAAAACATTTGTAAAAAATTAATTGAAAAATGGAACGAAAATTAAATGTTCATTTTTAAATTCAATTTTATAAACTTATCTTAATGAAATTAGAAAAAAATTAGGGCTCCCTAAATTGTCAAATTATCAAAATAGAATAAAAAAAAAGTTTGAAAAATAAAATTGTGAGACTTATAATATAAATAAAAAAGTTCTACTTTATCATTATAAAACGATATTATATTTTTTCTACGCGCATATATTAAGATATAAAAAAAACATAAATATACAAACAAATACTAACTAAATTCATTTAAAATCTTCTTTCAGTCCAAAGTATTAGTAATGATAATCTTTTCATATTTGACAGCATAATATTAAGTTTATATTTCATTATCTGTATCATATTTTATTCCAAATGAAAAATTCTTTTCTGATAAAAAAATGAATAAATAAGGGAGATAAAACAAATAAATATTAATATAAAAACAGTTAAATGTGAGCGAACAAGTACATAAATTCACGTTGATTTACAATAATTTTTATTAATGTCAGTTTTACATCAGATCAAAGTCTGTTGGGGATATCATCATTAAAAAGAAACATTCATCACACTTCTAAAATATTTAATTTTGGTTTGATAAAATTTGAAACGAGCAGTATTTACTAATTTGAGACAATAATGATAAAAGTTCAAAAATGTTTTTTGTATTTAAACAAATTATGCCGTAGTGACAGTAAAAATAATGATTTTATTTGCAAGTAAATCATTAATTAACGTCAATATTAATATAGAAACCGCCGCAGAAGTTTAGAAGAAACCAGGGCTAATTGAAACACATTTTACATATTATGATGTAGTAAAAATAATATTTATGATAAAAAGACAAAACTTCATAAATAACTAAAAAAAAAAAAACTTGATTAAAAATGAATTTGTTTTTTTATAATGAATTGTTATTAAAATAGTTGAAAATAATTATCCTAAACTTTAAAATTAAAGTTTTAGTTTTAATTTAAGACTAAAATTTAACATTTTTATACGTTTTCTAAACAACGCTTAAAATTAAATATTTCATGGTACATAATATTACATAAATATTACTGTATTACAATGACATGCTCTTATTAATTAGCGTTTTATTAACAACATATCCTATGAAGTGCAATAAATAATCACTAATGAAAAACAAGATTAATATAAAACGTTTAATTTAAGTCAATCAATTGTTGATTCTTTCATTTATTATCATTTTTTAATAAATCGTCTCTTTAGCCTCTATCTTAGCTTCTTAAGGGCAGCTCTACCTTTCAATGTTCTGATAGGATTTTTACACGCGCTTTACCCAACCGGTTGATCTGCCACAACCTCATTATGGCTGATGGTAGTCAGTAAGAGGCAAGCATTGTATTACTATTAAAATTCTGTTAGATCACCCATCCGGCAACCAACAGCAAACAGCGCGGCTGAACATCAGCTATAAGGTGGTGACTGAATGAACCACTACGCCACATCATGTCATATGTTATCGTTTCTTAACCAATATTATCAGAACGCTATATTATTATGCTGTTATTGTCATTAAAGCTATATTTATTTGTCTAATTAATCTTAAGTTTTTATTATAGTTTGATATTTTTTTACTATGCATCTAGACAGGACAAAGATAAAACCGATCCACTGAAGCAATTTATCTAGATATTGTTGAATGACGGTACTTGATAGGTAATGGATTGTTTATTGTTATATTTATTTTATTGTAGCGTTAAACGGATCATTTAAAATCTCGCTTTCGAGTTTGACAGAAGGCTTAATTCGTATATAATACACTATTTTGGTACATTTAGATTGCAAAAATTAATAATTATTTATTAATAGTATTGAATCTATTAATATTTGATAAGCAATACTGATGATATCGATTCTAGATTGAAATTGAAAGAACGTGATTTGAAATAATTGAATTGTTTTAAAATTTATATTTACAAGACATAAATCAGACAGAGTTGAAAGTTACAAAAATTAAATGATTATTTAAAAAATCTGTTATGTATTTTCTTTATCAAAATATGTGACTATGATAATTCACTGTGATTATTTTCACGGTATATTTTACTGTTTTGGCACTTTCGTTTCCGGAAGCACATTTACGAAGCAAAGTAACAAACGGAGACAATAATCTTATCACTTCAGCGCAATCATAAGCACTCGCATTGCTGTCCACTCCTTTATTTGATTCAAGCATAATAACAGCTTTCATGCAATAAAACAATACAAAATAAGAATTGGCACTTATTCGTTTATACAGAGAGCAATTCATCTTGAATTATTTTTACTTTGTTTAAATTTAAATGAATGTAAGTCTTTGGAAAGGATCTCTTAATATATATGAAAAATGATTTTTTTAGTATCTAATCCGAACAAAACATATTCTATGTCTATCCATCCTGTCAATTTCAGAATAGGTACTTATTTTTTATTTGAGAGGTCAGTAGATTTTAAATGATTTCGTTTTTATTCGGATAATTTTGAATAGATATGACTAGGAGATAAGAAGTGCAACAAAGAATTCTCGGTATAATCAAACTATGTTTTTTTATTGAGAAAGAAAGGTTCAAGTGCGTCGTTATGCAGAGTTTTCAAATGAATTTTATATTATTACATTTATTTATAATAAAATGTACGTATAAGGCTAATGAGAAAGTTATTACGAAAATATTATTAATATATCATTTTTTATATGAGACATTTAAAATGTCTGCAAGCCAATAAAATAAAATGAAACACTAATGGTTCTGAAGAAACATTAAATTCAAGATCATTGAAGAAGCAATAAAAACAAATGAAGGTATAATAG